TTCTCCCACATCTGTGCATCCTCCTGCTCACTTCTTTCTTACCAACAGCTCCAAGGCATAGAGCTGGATGTCTCACCTGACACCACCCCATCCCCCGCAGCCAGGAAGTCGCAACACAGACCTGCGGCTTCCCTGGAGGTCTTCACTTTCCCAGGGTTTAGTTACCTGCAGGCAACCAGCATCGTGACCGTCCTCCTTATGTGTGGTCAGAAGACCTCACTTCATCGTCATCTCAAACCATCATGAGAGGAATGACTACAGCATGGTAAGATTTTTTTTTTTTTTCGGTACCAGGGATTGAACCCAGGGGTGCTCAACCACTGAGCCACATCTTCAGCCCTTTTTTTTTATATTTTATTTTGAGACAGGGTCTCATGAAGTTGCTTCAGGCCTCACTAAGCTGCTATGTGCCCAGCTTCAGAGAGAGAGTATGAGAGAAAGAAAGAGAGAGAACACATTCACATAATTTTATTGCAGTCTACAGTTATAACTATTCCATTTTAATATTAGCTCGTCTCTTGCTGTGCTTAGCTTCCAAGTTGAACTTTATCATGGGCATGTATGTGTAGGAATAATATCGTCTAAGTGTTCAGTACGTTTTGCAGTTTCAGGGGATCTTTGTAGTGGCAAACAGCAGTAATGAAGCTGGTATTGTCAATGTGGGCTAACATAACTCATTCTCTGGAACTTGTCTAGAACATTGAGAATGTGGTCTCATTGTCCACACCGTGATGTTCCTGAAGGGTATTAAATGACGTGAAGAAGGGTAGCCCATATGACCTCCTAGACCTCATGCTATCACCAATCACTTTCCCTGTCTATTTTTTTAAAACTCATTTTATTGGAGTCCTCACTTTTAGAAATTAGCATGTCCATGTTTTTTCTGCTCCTGATGAACTTGCACAGACTCCGCCATGAGATGGGAGTCTTGGCCTTTCCGTCTTTTTTGTGTATGTGTGTGGGGGTGGGGAGGGGAGGGGTAACAGGAATTGAACTCAGAGCACTTGACCATTGACCCACATCCCCAGCCCTATTTTGTATTTTATTTAGAGACAGGGTCTCCCTGAATTGCTTAGCACCTCCCTTTTGAACTCGCCATCTTCCTGCCTCAGCCTCCAGAGCCCCTGGGATTACAAGCATGTGCTACCATGCCTGGCAAGGCCATTCCCTCTTTATGTAGAAGCTTCACTATGGTGTGTGTGTGTGGCATGGGAGGGAGTTCCAGAGTCCTGATGGTGGAGGATGTCGGACAACTTTCAGAACGTCCTCCATTTCAGCTGCAATTCACTTCTCGCCCTTTTAATATACCTGAAGACCTAAAATAACTTAGACATAGCTCATGTGCCAAAGGTAATCCCTTCCCAGTTGTATGAGATTTGTCCCCCTTAGCTAGCCTAACTTTGTTCTAACCATGCAAGGAGGCCATCTATCCATTCCCTGACTTCAATTTACCTTGCAGAACTTTCCTGCTTCATCCTGTTCCTGAGAGGAAGCATCCTGGGTCATAGAAGAGGTTGGCTCATCAGGTCTCTGTGGAGTGTATCTCAGGTTCCAGTCACCTCTGCCTTCCACACACTGTGGGACTTCAGTGAAAGAGGGGAAGAGAGAGGACAGGGGGCATCAGCAAGGGCCTGGGCTGTTGCAGTGGCTGAATCTGGGGACCTGGGTGTTCTGGCCTGCGGAGTCTGTGCAGTAACACTCAGGGGCTTGGCACAGGGAGGTCTACAGACATCTGTGCTTCTCACACTTCAGTGTGCACCAGAAGCACCCAGAGCTTTTCTGAGCACTTATTGCTGAGTCCTGCCTGGGGTTTCTGATTGAAGGCTTGGAATAGAGTCCCAAATTCTGCATGCCTCACAAGCTCCTCGGCAACGCTGCTGCTGCTGCTGCTGGCCCAGCAACCACATTTTGAGAGCCGCTGGTTTAGAGGAAAGGGCCTCACCTTGAACCCCTTCAATGAGTACAAGAGACTCAAAGAAGGGGCCTCCTCCTGCCTAAGCTGGAGGGGTGGTTTGGGTCTCCTTGTTGGCTTGGCTGGCTATGGTGAGTCTCTGTGCCTGGATTCCCTCGTGGTTCTTTTTTCCAACTTGGTCACTGTTGCTGTGGCTGGCGTGCAGAAAAAGGGCATTAACCACGTGCAAGGTACAGGAAGGTGGGGACAACAGCCACCAGACAGGGCTCTGCTCCACCCCTGCCAGAGTCGGACATTCGTTTCATGATCTGCACCTTCTGTAGACACCTTTCCTGTTTGTTTTAAGAGGACGCAAAGCTGAAAACATTATAAATTGAATTCAGAGTACTTTCTCAGTTTCCCCTAGCACCGCTCAGCTCCCCAGCAACACCCATATTCTGGGCTGACAGTCAGAAGGACTTTCCACACTTGGAGGATGCCAGCCCTGGAGAGGAGATAACAGAATGCATTTACTGATGTCGGAGCCCAAGACAGCCTCAAAGCGGGTCAGCATCGTTCCCCCCAGGGGTCACAGCCCCAGAGCCACCCAGCTAACTTCTTCTCCGCCCTCCATCTGCTCCAGGAACTAAAGACACAGCTTTCACCTTGAACCTCTTGCCAAATTCCTGCCCTGTTTTCAACAGTTGGCAAGAGCTGATCATATCTGCACAGGAAGAAGGGGGCTGATGCTCAGAGGATTGAAGACATAAGGACTCGGTGGATGTGTGAAGCTGCGGGGGCAGGGCTAGAGTTTCCTTGGATAAAGCCTAAAAGTATTTGATATTTTCTTTGGTAAATACTGTGATAAAATGATACTCACTTCCTTCCCAAGACCCAGATCCGATTTAATCATTCCAAACAGCCACACTTGAATAAAGCCCGTGGTGCTGGGCCTGGATCATTGCCTGGGCCTCCAAAGGTGCTCAATAAATATTTGCTGGATGAATGAACGAATGTGCTCATTCTAGGATCATCTCCATTCCAGAAGCTCTGATGTGATCCTGGCTGCTCTCATCTAAAAGGAGTTTTTCCTGTTTCTTTTAATCCTTCCCTTTTTTAAGGTCTTATACTGGGCATAAAACAAACTCTCTTTGATCCTTCTCTGTCTCTGCCAGGGAGCAATGCAGCCGTCACTCAGCAATGCACAAATGAAAATTCTTGCATCATGGGTCTCCAGTCCAGTTGCAGAGGAAACAGTCCTTTCCTCCATTGACCCCGTTCCTACCCCACCCCCATAGATTTCAAGCATTCAGGGTTCCTTACCTTTCTCTGGATGTTTCTATCTGCAGAAATCTGCATAGGGAGACCAGCCCTCTAATTACAATGAAGACGTCCCCCTCCTTGTAGTTCTCTCAGTCTAGTGGTGCCCTGCCCCCCAGTTCTCAGTCCTCAGGAGATTTGGAGGACAATAAAGAAAGACCAGGCGTGGGGGACCAGGAGTCAACAAAAGGCAGACGAAAAAAGTTTTAGAGGATTGATGTGGGTGTCAAGATGTAAAAATAAACCTGTTTTGCTCAGAGGTGAGTCGAGATGGCTCATGGTTGTGGTTGTTTTCCTACCGGGATCACCTTGTTCATTGGGCTCTCTGTGCCAGATTCAAGGGGATGCCACACAAACTCAGGCATAGACCCTTTCCTTAAAGAAGTCACTCATCAAATCTCCCATGGGAGGGTCTGCCCACTGCCCCTGCACCCAGCCCTTTGCCTGAGAAAAAATATGAGGTCCCTAGCAGGTTTCTGAGTCAACCAGCCAGTGATTTCAATGAAGGCTGCTGTCCAGAACAATGTGGCGACAAAGCCACTCGGGGATAGGGAGTAGGCAGCCCACAGCAATGCCCTGGGCCAGTCCACAGTCCTCTCCCAGGGCCGTCCCAGCTGTTGTCACATCTTCAAAACACTGTGCAGACAAATAGTAGATTGTGCTCTGGATATGACATTTTGGAGCCATATTCAGCCCAAAACATTTCACAGGTATAGGAGTAAACAAATCAGTTAAAATTTGGTGCTTTACAGAATAAATTCTCAAGATTAATTAGAATTCTTGGATGCCAAACATTATTCAACAAGTATTGATTTGGTTTATATATTGCTGATTTGTATTATTAATAGGTTCAGAAGTATTACTAGAGCCTGAGAATAAATATTTGTTGTTTAATTGACAGATGATCATGAACCTGAAAAACACTGGACCAAAGCCCAGCTCTGGCTTCACGTGGGAACCACTCACAGGGATGTCATCGTGGGCTTACGGGCAATGTTATAAGGTGCATGCTCTTGATATGCTGTCTTTATTGGGCTTATCATCTTCCTTCCCTAAAAAAGCTTTCATGGGTAAAGAAGAAAAGGAAAACTAAAAGGACCTGTTGAAAGATAAGCTCAAAGCACTACCCAGCGGCAACTTAGGTACAAAGCACTGAACTGACTGACCTTTGGGGTCTGGGCATCACTGCGATTGGCCAATTCCACTTTCTAGAACGGAGAGAGGGGCATTATTACTGCAGGAAGGACCTGAATCTGCCCTTGAGTATAGATCAATGACAATCTCAGCTGTTGCTATGGTTACAGGTTCCTTGCAGAGCCTCTGATGCCTGGTGGTACATACCAGAGGGTGTCGGAGCTGGATTAGGCTCGCCAGATGAAGCCCTGGTTGCCAGTTCACTTTGAATTTCAGATAAACAACAAATTTTCATTACGAGTGTAGTAATGTAGTACAATTTTGGCATACTTGGGATGTACTTATACTAAAAAATTATTCATTATTGATTTAAAATTAAAATGGAACTGGGTGCCCTATATTTTATTTTTACTTGCTCAATCTGGCAACCCTCTAGTAGGTGGCTGGCAACTGTCCTGAGCTACCTCCAACGTGCCAGTGACAAACATCCATCCTGGCCAAGCCTTCTAGGACAGTCAGACCAGGGTCCACGGGACAGCAAAGTTACACTCCAGTGGTCTCCCAGAGAATGGGTCCTTTTATCCCATGCCACAAGCAGGATGTCATGGCACCAGCACTTCCTCTCAGACGCATGAAGCATCCCAGTGGGATAAAAGTAAATAAGAGCCAAATTTAATGTGAAGATCGAGGTCGACAGTCAGATGCTTTACACAGGTCTGATGGCTTCTTTGTTTGCAGTTGCCAATGTCAAATGTTTAATGGGAGAAGGACTCCAAAAGAGAGTTCTCAGTAGGTATTCCATTTCTCCTGTGGATTGGGACAAGACTATTGTTATTTTATTTGCATGTAGCATGGACCCATTCCATCTGGAAGAGGGTCAAGGGAACCTCAGGTCACAGCTTGTTGGCAAGTTGTCAACACAGCCCTAAAGGGTGGGGGTGGGAGAACCAGGACGCTGAGCCCCAGGCAGAGCTGAACAGTTTGCAGGGGTTGTGAGAGGGGGCGGCTGGTCAAGGCTGGCAGGTCCTAAGGAGCACAGGACCTATGAGGTGTGAGTCTTGTTGTTTTCAGAAGCCCTCTGGGGAACGAAAGCATCATGACTGTCCAACAAGGCATCGGCTCTAAGAGGGCAACTGGTAGGGCACAGTGGAGATGGATATCTCAGAGCAAAGGCTGGTCTGCTGCTTGTTCACAGGACAGCCCCACCTGGGGGTGGGGAGGATCTGTCAGGTAGGATGGAGTCTCTGTGAGAGTGACCAGGGCCCTCCGGGCTCCTGGGACTGTAAAGGCAATATGACATGGTGAAGGGCCAGAGGGAAAGACGTGCCAGAAGTCCAGCTGTCTGGCATAGCCTGTTAGGAAGAGGGACTGGAGTTGAGTGCCTCCTTTCACCTGTTGACCAACCAGCCGGACGCCCTCCCTCAATGCCAGGCCTGACAGCTGTTCTGTCACCCGCCCTGTGTTATTTTGGACAAAGCTCCTCCTCTCAGAAGCTGTTTTCTCACCAGCACAATGAGGAGGATCAGAGAGCCATAGCTGAGTCACAGCCTGTCTCATCAGGTCCCTGGGCTGGCAGATCACAGCAGTGGATGTGCATAGCTCCTGAGTTTGGAACATTGCACACAGGATTGCACCCAGGCCTTCACAGAAACCAGGGACTTGGACACACGTCGCACCATTGCAGATGCACCTTCCTCGGTGTTGAATGCAGGGAGTCTGAAAGTGAAAACAACAGGAAGAAAAGTGAAACTGGCCTCTCCTTCCTTGTTGAGGGAATGCACAAGGAGCCTGCAGCAAGCCCAAGTGGTACAGGCAAAGGTCATGTTCTGCCCTTTGAAATGAAAATCCAGAGGAACCTTTGAGACTTCCTCATTCCTGGTCTTTGACAGCAGTTCCTGAATGGCTCTGGCTCCTGGGTCACAGCAGGCCCCATAAAGGTTGTCATTATAGCCCTGCCAGTCAGGTGGCCCAGGTGGCCTGCCCCACCCCATCCTGAGCTATGACTCCTGGAGCTGCCGAGGGCAGAGGAGAGTTGCCTCACACACCAGCCAAGCACAGAAATTGCGTAGACACTTGGGCGTACACGGCCATGCACACGATCACACACCTGGCCATAGGTGTTCATTCTCAGGTGCACACCCGCTCCAGACACCCACAGCTTTCTCAAACCCCACAGGTCCCAACCGGCAAACTCAGAAATCTCCTCTCCTCCTGCTCTGCCTACATATGCACCCATCCTGGCATAAGCACAGACATTCACGGGCACAGGACACACACACACACACACACTTGCATATCCTGTGACTCCTGTCCAAATACATGCCTCCTTCACACATCACACACACACACAAAAACACACACATAGCCAGCTGCTCAGCCTCTCTGCTAACCTCAAGCCTCAAGGGTGTGCTGCGGTTCCTCCTCTGGATGAGACCAGGATACCAGCTTCCTCCTCCCAGTCTGCCTTGAAATGTCCTCCACACCCTTCCCGTGGCCAGCTGAGCACTGCTCCATTCTTGAATTTGGTTCTGTTTGTACTGATCTGAACAGTGCTTTGAGACCCAGGCCCTTCAAGGGCCAAGCAACATTTCCCATGTGTGTTTGAACTACGTGGGAACCTGGGCTCTCTAGAATCAAGAAAGTTCATTTTATTTCCATGTTGGAGACGCTCTTCCAAGCTGCAAGAAACAGATCCACTCAAGTTACTTTGAGTGATGACAATATATTGTAAAGGAAGTATGGACAGAGGGACAGATGGGTAGGACATGAACAGTGCCCCGCAGTTAGGACTTGGGATTGGGGATTACTACTAAGGCCAACTCGACAGTGAAGATAGCAAGGGTTTAATTGAGCACTTTCTCTTCCGGGTGCCAGCCCCGGCTCCAGGCACTCTGTGCGCATCATCCTAAATGGTCATGCAGACTTATGGCACTGGTTATCACCATCATCCCCCTTTGGAGGAGCAGGAGGCTTAGAGAGGGTTGTAACAGGCTAAAGTCCCAGGGCTCATAAGGACAGGGCTGGGATGCACCTCAAGCTGTCAGGAGCCCGTCAGTGTAACCCAGGACCCACTCTGCCCACCTGAACCCCATCTTGCTGTTCCCCTGAAACTCCCATCTGCGACTCCCACCCTGCTGGGTCCGCCATTTCCCAGGCACCTCTGCATCTCTGTACCTCCGTTTCTCATTCTGTGTGTCCCTGTGGGAGAACCAGCAGGGTCAGTCACAATCCAGCCAGTGTGGAACTGCTCCGAAGCAGAGAAAGAGAAACACCCACACACAAGCCTGGGCTCCGTCTCACCAGCTAGCAGCTGTCTCTGGGTGGGAACTGGGCCGGGGCCGGTGGGCACAGTCATCACCATCTCTGGACCACAGAATGACCATTGTGGCTTCGCATGCCATTCCTGGAACTCTTTACTAAACATATTTCTCATTTTCCTGACTCTAGGAATCGTCTAGTAAGTATAATTGAATTTTTTTTTAAAAAAATGATTTGGTTAGGATTTTATAATTCCCAGGACATTATTCTGAATTCCAACTGGATCCAACTGCAAAAGTAGGAGGTAAGAAGAGCTATGGTGTGGTGACAACCAGGAAACTCCCTAAACATCTTTAAAAAATACATTCCTACTTGGTTATTGGCTCTCGTCTATGTGGAGGCCCCAGCGAGAAGGAAAAGTCCCTGGCAGAGGGTTCCAGGGAGCTCAGGCTACATGGTACAAGCTACAGATCAAGGCAGATGTGGTGTCATTCTTGGACTGTTCAGTGCAGGCTGCAGAAAGCCATCTCAATGGAGGGATGTCCAGGGAGGACTGGGACCTGTGGGGACCCAGGCCAACTTCTCCACCATCTCCCTTCTCAGAAGCTGCCTCTACTAACAGAAAGAAGACGGATTTCTCAGGTCATTCCGGCCCCCAAGAGCCACAAATTACAGGCTGCTAATCTGCTCTTGGGACTGTCAGGAAAAGCCCATGGGAGTCTGATCCTTGGTTCAAATAGATTAGAGGCCACCGACCTTGACATCTGGGCATGGCTCAGCTTCTATTAGAAAACATCCCCACCTAGGGAGCCTGGGAGATGTATAGAGGAAGGAGCAAAGGTCTACATCTTCTGACCGGAAACACTTGATCAGAACTAACTATTCGGACCAAAGCTAAAGTCTGAATTCTGCACAGCGTCCGTCCGGAGCCCAACAGGATCTGAATCACCTAAAGCCTGCAGCTACCGAGGAGCCAGCGATTTTATGGGATCATCGATTTTTGCTGCATTTATCCCCACAGCCTGACCCAGGCTAGCTGGCCTTTCCTCTCCTTAAACACAGGAGGCAAATTGGGAGCAGGGCTGTGGGGCTGGGATTCAAAGCTCTCTCCCCATAAGCCCCAGGGTGTGTCTCCAAACACACAGGAAAAGGGAGGAGACCTGGGGGGGCGGGGGCGGCATCAGATGGGGGTTTAGGCAGCCTAGGTCCTGGCAGCTCCTATTTTCCTAAATCAGGAGTGAGTCAATGAGGAGATGGCTTGGGACTGCCACGCAGGGTGACAGTTACATGACAATAGACCAAAACACAGTTACTCCAGGCAGGCCTGGCTTCTCAAGGGGAGTGTATGTGGGTGGCCTTGTTTTGTCAGGAAAAAGAAAAAAAAAATGTTTTGTTAAGATTCTTCCCCTTACCCTGCAGAAGAAATAAGATCTTTCTACCAAAGTTCACCAGTGGGTGACTCGGAAACTCTTCCGCAAGGATTAATTAATCTACACAATATTGACATGTGGGTCTCGTGCCTGTGATCTTTAGCCTGGACTGTTGACCAAAGCAGTTGAACAGGCCAGGAGAGGGAATGGGGTAAGGTGATGTCGGGGGAGATAAGAGGACATCATGACATCTCATATGACTAAATCAGAACCCAGCTCAAGACGGGAGGGGTAGGGATGAGCTGTCCCAACAGGAGTGATTAATGACTAGAGAAGCAGGACACAGAGATGACCTGAGTCTATGGCTCAAAGGCCATAGCTTGATACAAACGAATCTCCCAACCCCAGCGGCCCAGCGTGCCCAGGCAGGACCAGCAGAGAAGGGGGGGAAGAGGGGGTTTGGGCTCAGAGCCTGGGTGTTTGCTCTCCCCTTTCCAGAGAGTATGGATTCCTCTCTTCTGACTGACTCAGAGAAAAGGTGAGCGGAGGCTATTCTCTGCCTCTTTATCCATGTGACCCAGATCCTTCCAGAAAGCCCTCCTCATGGAACCTACACAGGATGTGTTCTTCAGGGTCTCTACTTTGATATGGCCCCACGGTGCCATCAGGACTCCTCTTGAGCTACCTGGTCTTTTAGGTTGAGACACCCAGTTGGACATCTCTGGGATGGACTCTGGGGACCTATGTCTGGGACAACTGTGTGCAGAGGGATCTGCATGGGAGAGGATTGAGTGGCAGCAGTCTCTGGCCTGCTGAACTTGCCAGTTCTATCCAGACCTATCTGCATTCATCTCCTGGGGCTGCTGTAACAAAGTACCAGAGGTGGGATAGCTTCAATCACAAAAAGGTATTGCTTCACAGTTCCTCCTGACCTGGAAGTCCAGGAACAAGGAGCTGGCAGGGTGGGCTTCTTCTGAGGCCTCTCTCTGACAGGTAGACGGTCACTTCTCCCTGTATCTTCCTATCCTATTCCCTCTGCACAAGGGCCAGCTCTTTGCTTGACCTATTTGCCAGTTTTACCTTGTAACTAAATAAAGTGACTAAATAAAGTCACTTTTCCCTGCATTTGCCCCTGGTCTGGTGGCTGTGAGCCAGGCACTCTGCTAGGTATTCATTGGTATTCTCTCTCTTCATAGCTCTTCATATTTTGTAGGTGAGGAAATGGAGGCTTTAGGAGGTGGACAAAGCAGGGAGCGCTAGAGGGGCCGCTGAACTCAGAGTAATTTGGAAGCCCTGGTTCTTTTCAGGGCAGTGAACTTTGACCGAGTCATTTTATTCAACAGTGTTTATTACCGACTGCTCTGCCCCAGGGCCTGTCCAAGGTGCTGTTCTAGATGCTCAGGAGTCTTCAGTTTACAAAACAGACACCAAGCTCTGGCTTTTACTGTGTTTTAAATCAGAGGTTCCCTGTGGCTTTTTTTGAGATTCCTCTGGAAAGATCTCTGAGTCGCTGGAGTTCATATTCTTCCAGGGGGAGACAAAGAACACAAATGTCAAACAAGTAAATAATATTACAGACTAGGACATGCAAGATGCTATGGGAAAAAAAAAGAAGTGGGGTACAGGATAGAGGTGATCAGGAAGGCCAGGGAAGGAAGGAACAAGCTGTGACAATCATTAAGGTGGTCAGAAAGTCCCCATGGAGAAGGTGATTAAGAATCCAGCATCGGGCTGGGGTTGTGGCTCAGCGGTAGAGCGCTTGCCTAGCACATGCAAGGCCCTGGGTTCGATCCTCAGCACCACATAGAAATAAATAAATGAAATAAAAGTATTGTGTCCAACTACAACTAAAAAATAAAATATAAAAAAAATAAAGAATCCGGTATCGACTCTGCCGGTTTCCAGCTTAGTGAACTGGAAAAAGGATCTCCATGGGCCTCAGTCTCCCCTGAGGTCGGTCTGGCCACCATGGCTGTGCTTCTCTCCAGCTCTCTGAGAGAGTTGTCTGAGCCTGAACAGAAGCCCACGCATGGGCTGCCCCATGTGTTCTCGTCTCCTTACTGTCCCCATGTGATTTG